AGGAGGCCAACTGCTCCCCTAAATCCATCAGGCTATAATAAGTGTCCTGCTCATCAGAACATTTTATTTAGTTATGCCCATCCCCTGCTTTCTGATAGAGGAAGAGTAGGCAACGTCAGAAAAACCATTATGCCTGCAGGGGGGCACTGTAGGAGGGACGTTTCTCCTCCCACGACCTCTCACCCCCATATGTTGACCATTGGTCTTTGGCCAGGGATGGATGGAATGGGGGATTAAAGACAGAGCCTCACTCAGTCATATAGGATTTCACCCTTGTCAGTACAAAGAAGAGCTAATAAACTGAACCCTAAGCTGGCAAGCAGGAGAGGGAATTCGATAGCATTGAGCAGGCCCGGTCCTGTACTGGGAAGAAAACAGTGCAGTCAGATAAATCTGACTTTGGTTTCAGGCTCTGCCATCTCCGGTAATTGACTTAATCTCCATGAGCCTCAGTTTCCTCAATCACGAAAGCATGTGCAGGGCTGTGTTAAAATTAACTAGTAAAGATAACAACGGCAAACACGTACACAGCACTATGTTCCTGGCACTACTAAGTGCTTTATACAATACTTAATTTAATCCTCATAATAACTCTGTGGCATAGGAATTCTTATCATTGTAATTGTTACAGAAGAGAAATGAGGCATGGAGGAGTTAAGTGACGTGCCCAAGGCCACACAGGCAGTGCTCTCCTTTGCAGTATGTATATGAATACAGTGCCCAGCACCATGTGAGATACAGTAAATGTTAGTTTGCTTCCCACTTCTCCCCCTTTCTAAAGAGCTACCCAAACTACAAGGTTAAAAATGAGTTGACTGTGTCCCACCATTAGTGGTACCTTCCTAAGACACGCAAGACACTTAGAATATGGAAACAGGCAAGCTGGTGACATTGAACTGAGTGCTTTGAGTGACAGCTGCTTCCTTGCTAAGGCCTGAGTATATGTGTTCCCATTCAGTAGCATTCGGGCGGGCGCCAGTCCAGCCACGGGCCATTTCCTGTGTCAGTCGTGCTCAAGCTTGTTCTAGCTGCCAAACCCTCATATGCTGGGGCTTTGAAAGACAAAAAGGGAATTGGGCAGTGGATAGTTGAGCCTGGGGCGAGTTCACGGAGACAGCTGTTCTGAAAAACAGTCCCAGTGGTTTCCAAATGGTGTGAATGCTCTTTCAATGCCCCTGTGCCCGTTGTGAGAATAACACCTTGTAAATTTCATTTCAGAAATGACAATTGTTGCACTAGTTTCCATGGTTTCCTCTCTGCAGAGGCCTTCCTTGATTGGAAGGGCTGTGGGCCTTTCCTTAGGCCCATGTCCTTGGAAAGTTCAACAAAGTAAATTTCTAGGAGTAGTGGGGTTGTAAGTAACATTTTCTCTTTATAACAAAATTCCTTAATTGCTGTTACAATGTTTGTGAAACAATAGCAAGCAACTTTAAAAACAAAATAAACATCAGCGGTGCATTTAGTAAGCAGAAGTAGAACTAAGAACCAAAACATGAAAGGAATGGATACTTAGGTGGCCCATTGCTTGTGTTTCCTGTGCTCAAAGCTCCCGTGGGCTAAGGACAGAGCCACGTATTTCAGATTTCCAAGGAGAACTGTTCAGACAACCACGACCGATGGATGTTGTGCAGTGGAGCTAAGCATTTATGCTTCCTGTGGAAGTCAAGTTGTGGTTTCAAACTCAAACCTAACCCAATTCCAGCGAGCATTCAAATGCCAGATGTCTTTCTACTTTTTTCATTGGCAATTCCTCATCTAAACCGAGAAGGGGTGTTTATCTTGAGCATTCATTGAAAATAGCAACCATGAAACCAGAAAGAGTGGCAACCTTGGGTCTAATGCTAAAGAGGTTTCAAGTAAAAATATCTTCCTCCAAAACATGTCTTCATCCAATATGGCATATTTAAATCCACAATGTTTAACAAGAGAGACAGAGTACTATTAATCAGGTTCTCCAGAGAAACATAACCAAAAGAATGTGGAGAGAGAGAGAGAGAGAGAGAGAGAAATTTTAAGGAATTGGTTTATGTGATTGGGACGTGGGCAAGGCTGAAATTTGCCGGGCACGCACGCTGGCGAGAAATCCAGGGAAGAGTTGATGTTGCCGCCTTGAGTCTGATTGCAATCTGGAGGCAGAACGCCTTCCTCCGGGAACCTCAATCTTTTTTCTTAAGGCCTTCAACTGATTGGGTGAGGCCTACCCACGTTGTGGCAGGTAATCTGGTTTACTCAAAGTCTACCGATGAAAGGTTAGTCACATCTAAAAATGCCTTATCAACAACATCGAGACTAGTGTTTCACCAAAAACTGGGTACCATGGCCTAGCCAAGTTGACACATAAAATTACTCATCATGACCATGAATCAAGTCAAGCCCAGATATGTGTATGAATCTCTTCTAAATACTCTTCCTCTGGGTCAATTTCCTATACCTATACTATTTTTAACTAATGCTATTCCTATATCAGTAGGGCATGAATCGGAGGCTTTAGAAAACAGTGATGGGTTTGTCAGCCATTACAGAACTTTTGGGTATGTTCACTCGGCTCAGGAAACTTCTTTGATTCTGTCAAACTGACAAAGTCAACAAATCTTATTAATGTATGCCTGTTAGTATTTTACTGACATTGGAGCTAGCTGTACCTCTTCTAGGAAATATATGTATGTGTATGTATGCTATGGTCCCCTTGGAGCAGCTCACCAAAACAATGGGCTTTCGCTCCAGAAAATATGCACAGACACACATATGACATTTATCATCCTATTTCAGGGTGCTCACAGATCCTGAAGCCCAAGTTCAGAAACCTTTAAAAACGTTTCCTGAACATCTATGCAGCAGGCACTGGGTGTCAGGGATGCAGAGATGGAGAGCTAGGGCCCCACCCACCCTCAAAAGCTCAGTCTCAAGGGGCCAGCAAGAACTTGGTGCTTTCCAGATAAAGGACAAACTATGAGGGTGGGGGCCTCGAGGAGCACTGACAGGGCACCTAACGCAGACTTAGGAGGTCAGGGACGGCCTCCCAAAGGAGGTGCTGGGGCACCCAGTGAGTCCTGCCTGGTCTTTCCCATACAGGAAACTGATGAGCAGGAGCGAGCATGGATTTTTAGAGAAAATAGTTCAGGGTTGCTGAAGGAAAAGATGGGAGACGGCAGGGTGAGGCTGGAATGTAGAATGCAGGCAATGGGCTTGGTGCATGAGGGCTGGATAAGCCTTAAGCCAGGTTTTTTGGTTTCTGTTTTTTTGTGGGGTTTTTGTTGTTGTTGTTTTGCGTAGGGCCAGATAGTAAATGTTTTTAGCCTTTTCTGGTCATCTGGTCACTGTGGCATCTTCTCAACTCCTCCATTCCAGCACAATAGCAGCCATAGAGATGTAAATGAAAGGAGTGGATGTGTTCCAATAAAACTTTATGCGCACTGAAATTTGAAATTGATATATCTTTAAATTCATAGACTTTATTTTTTGGAGCAGTTTTAAGTCTGCAAAGCAATTGAGCAGAAAGTACAGAGTTCCCAGACACCACCCCACCCCCATCCTCCATACAGCTTCCCCTACTATTA